TCCTGAGGAAGGTGCACGAGGCTGCCGGTGGTGTCCTTGCCTTAGGCTGGCACTGCTGTCTGAGTGTGAGCTGGCAGGTGAAGAAGCCGTCTCTGACCTTGTGTCCTTGCTCTGTTTCTTTAGTGACCGAGGCCCAATTTGAGCACTTAGGTGAAGGGAGCATTCTGTAAAATACCAGTTCAGGATTTAACACTTTTCACTCTCTTGTGTTTCAGGCTACCCCAAGTCACCTCCTGTAGCTACCCCAGGTATGTCCTGATTAGAACTGTTTTCCTTGGTGCTCTCTGCCCTGCACTTACTGCCTTCTTCCCTCAGCACTGCAGGCTTGGGTGAAGCCTAGAGCCTAGCCCTTCCACACCCAACAGCCCTGAGGTCCTGGCCTCTAGGGACTAAAACCCTAGAGAGGCTCGGAGGAGGGAGTTTTCCTCCTACGCTGTCTCTGGTCATGTTTTCCGAGGGGAGCGCTGGGTGGGCTGGGCTGTGTGTGGTCTTGATGAGCTTTCTGGGGCCCAGGCTTTATTGGATCAGGCAAGCAACTCCCTAGACGATTCTAGACGATTCTCTTTATGTACCCAGCACCACTCCCGGGTGCGGCACACAGCAGGCTCACCTAAACACATACACACAGCCGCGCATTCTTCCTTACACAGAGATTCAGCTTTCTGTGTGTTCATATGAAGTGTCCACGTGCCTCATCCCTGTCCAGTTCAGCTTCTCTGTACTAGTTGTTGGTCTATCGAGGGCAGGCTCCGGACCTTTAACATAGCTTGTACCCCAATCTACATCAACACTTTCAGAAGACAGGCTGGTCCATGTGCTCTTGCCTCTCTCTGCCTAGGGGTGCCACTGCCTGCCCTGGTGTCCTTTTCAGCCGGTCTTACCCAGAAGCCTTTCCCCAGTGACGGAGGCGTCGTCCTCTTTAATAAGGTGCTGGTCAACGATGGAGGCGTATACAACCCCGCCACTGGTGAGTGCACGGGGGGGGGGGGGGGGGCTTCCGGCTTACTTTATCCGGATGCAGGTACCCCCACCTCATCCTGTGTTGGTCCCCTGAGGCTGCTCTGTCACCGAACCTCCAGCTCCTGGGCTGCAGGTGCCGGTGTGTGATGAGGCTTCTGGCCATGGGTGAATAGCACCTGTATCCAAGAGGCTGCATCTTCTAGATGAGGAGAGTTAACCTGGCCTCCTAGGGCTGGGAGGTTCAGTATCTGCCTCTTCTTGGGTTAGGCACATTTTATTCTCATCAGCTGTCTCATGAATGGGGTCCAGCAGCCTAGCTTTTGGGTATACGCAATGAGGAGAAATGCCCCAAGAGACAGCCAGGGTTTAGGAAGATGGTTTTTAACATGGCAAGGGCTGGGTCTTGGGCCCAAGTCTTCAGGAAAGCACATGCCATTGTACACGGCAGAGCAGGAATGTTGGTGGAACTGGCTGCCTGTCCCAGCAGGGTCAAGGCTGGTTTGTCTTCTAGCCTTCTGCTATGGTTAGATGAGGAGAATCACACTACTCCAAGTCCCGGGTTATTGGAGCTTTCGTTCTGGTCGTTACAAGCTTAGGACAGTGGGCTATGAAATGAGGACCACGCCAGCATGCGCTGAGTGGCCCGAGTCTGTGGGTGCAGCGGGAGAGCCGCACCCGGGTTCATTTTACTGAAAAACAGGTGCGGCTGGGTGGCACCATCTCCCAAGCAACAAGCCTTCTACTAGTCTGGTGACTAACTATCCTGATTTGTCCAGGACTTTGGGTGCTAAAAGCCAGGGGCAATTAGAGGCAAATTGAAGTGGCCTCGTATCGTGAATGGGCGGCGAAGGCACCAGATGGGCTCACGCTCACCTGTCTGCCTGCCTTTTCCTAGGGATCTTCACGGCACCGTATGATGGGCGCTACTTGATCACGGCCACCCTCACCCCCGAGAGAGATGCCTACGTGGAGGCAGTACTGTCTGTTTCCAACGCCAGCGTTGCCCAGCTGCATACAGCCGGGTACAGGAGAGAGTTCCTGGAGTACCACCGTCCCCCTGGGGCTGTGCACACCTGCGGGGGCCCAGGCGCCTTCCACCTCATCGTGCACTTGAAGGCAGGGGATGGGGTCAATGTTGTGGTGACCGGGGGCAGGCTGGCTCACACAGACTTTGATGAAATGTACTCCACCTTCAGTGGTGTTTTCCTGTATCCTTTCCTTTCCCACCTCTAGGGAGGTCAAGGGAGGAAGGTTGTAAAAATTCCAAAGCTTTAATATATTCAGTGTGTGTCACTGGTGCCCGCCCCACCTGCCCCCAGAATAAAGGTCTTCCCTCACTGTAGAGACTGCCACCCCTCAGGCATTTCCAGACAGCCTTGGAAGTGACACATGATTAAGGAGGCCCCCATTTTTCTGGAACTCTAACTGGGCAACCAGAAGACTTGGCAAGTCCCTTTGGCTGAAAGCCGGCTTCTCCTGGACTGGGCCTATGTGGTGCTACCTGTGGAGGCTGCAGCTGCTCCCCAACTGGGCAGGGCCTGCTGCAGCTGGACAACCTGTAGCTGGCCTTCCCTGGAAGACACTGGAGTGGGTGCCTCTCCCTATGCTGCACATAGAGTTTGAACACTGAAGTGCTGAAGGGGCCTGGGCCCAGAGTGGAATCTGGGCTACCCCACACTCGGCTTGTTACCGCCTGGGACTCATCTCTCATCACCTGGGCCCTGCTACAAAGGGGGATGCAACAGACATTATTTATGAAGCTTGTTGGGCTCCTTAAATGACATGTACGATATAAGTGCAAAGACAGGGAGCGTCAATAAAGATGTCACTATCACCTCATGTTCCTCTTCTGTATCTCAGACCTTATGGACTGGGGCGGGGGGGGAAAGCAACCTAGAAAACTTTTTATGGCTGTAAAAAGTAATCTTGTGTGTGAATTAATTCCAGCCTTTAAACTCCTACCTCCTGGCTTCCAGGCTGTGCACATTTGGGTTCTGATTTTGGCTGGTAAACAGGGACCAGGTGTTCTTGAAGGTCAGGGCCTACTGCAGTCCTGGAGCTGAAGAGGGGACTTTTAGGGGAAGTGGTCTGCTTACAGGCGGACGAAACTGCCTCCACTGCGCAGCTCACTGGCAGACACAGCACTGTGGACTCGAGTTCCTAAGCAACACAAGCCCCGATATAAGCCAGATGGCCGACTGGAAGCTGAGCTCATCTGAGAGGACAGGCACACGGGTCTAGGGAGGCCTAGCATCATGGTCCTCTCCCAGCAGCCCACAAAGCTCGAGGTACATATGGGACAGTCAGCTCGGCGGCTTTTGCTAACCAGCTTTGGGGAAAGCTTGTTGATGAACCAGCACCCGCAGGGAAAGGCAACTCCCCCAGGTCCCTCGTAGACAATACAGACAGGGAAACCAGGGTGTCAACAGTTGTATTCTTAGCCCAGTTGGCAGAAGAGGCCAATGCTATAAAAATGCCTTGGGTTTCACGGGTTGTTGGAAGGACGGGCCTGGACTGCAGTTTTTAGAGCTCTCCCTGTTTCTACAGCTGGGGAGTTGGCTACAGAGTATCCTTGCCGGTCCTAGCAATGACTAATGGAAAAACCCACAGCAGCCGTGTTTTTCAGGAAAACCCGGCTGGTGCGCGGGCTTTGGCCCTTTCCTCTCACACTCTTCTTTGATCTTGTTCAGTGCCAAACTGGCCAAGTGCTCAGCGGCCCAAGGCAGGGACCCGACACTAGGCGCATGGCCACTGTATGCTCCGCTCCCACACAGGTCTCTAGAGCATCAACTAGAGCTCGGCCCGCCTGTGTGTGTGTGTGTGTGACTTACCTTCCTGGACCCAACAGGCAAAGTGGAGCGAGCCCATACTCGCTGCAGGACAAAAGGGAATGAAAGCCAGACGCAGCCCATGAAGGGTAGAACCTATCTTTTTTTTGGAGATGCCTGTCTGTGGGAGGAGAGTTTGGAGCAGCCCCCCTAAGTCACCACACCCCTCAAGTCATGTGCCCATGAGTCATTGGTAGACACTGAACTGAAGTACTTAGGCTTATGGTTTTAATGGCCTATAAGACATTTTGAGAGTCTAGTTGTTACTTAGCTGGTCAAGCAATCCTCCCCAGCAGGGACTGGCAACACCACACGGCCACCATGATCAGGGTACAACTTGTAAAAGTCAAAGAGTTCTTGATTACTGAGAAAAAGGACAGTATTTACTATCGGCTGGGGCATTCTGCCGGACATGCGCACCACCAAACGGGAGGACCGCAAGTCTGCTCCGGGCGATTCTAGATCATTCCCGCTGACAAGCATTCTGTTTTCCCCACATCTGCAGCACATGGACCCTGTCCGCCTGCTAAACGTACACCTGTTTTCGTATGCCATCTTACGATGGGAAGGAGGGGCACTCACAGGTCTGCACAGAAGGGATGGACAGACCAGGTCCTCTGGGCTCCACACTCAGTACTTCAAACTGTCTGGGGAAAATGCCAGTTCTTTATAGTCAGACTCTTTCTAGGCCAAAGGATACTACCAGAAGACCTGCGGCTTCTCTCAGCCCAGCCTCGCATCCCAGGAAAGCAGCATCAAACACAGGGTTTTTATTACATGACCTGTGGCTGGAGGGGACAAGGACGCCACTCTTGTCATCGCCTATGTGACGTGGGTTGTGACATTCACTCTGTTGTCTGCTGGGAACGTCAGGACTGTAGCTGCCACATACCTCAAGAGGGGCTTATAAAAGGGGATACTGAAGGTTGAGTGGACCCCTAGGGGGCTCTGAAGGGCTGGTGTGCTAGCCACACTACAGGGGAAATGACATAGGAATCAATCACTATTCAGCAGAACCGACAAGGCAGAGACATCAGTTCCTGTGGATGGAGCTTCACTTCTGGAATCAGGGTTTACATGTGAGCAACAGGAAGAGGTTCCTCCTTTAGATAAAAACGCTATTCATATAGAACTGATAATTATAATTATCAATCTCTGGCACTAATACAGATAAGATGGTCAAACATCCTCTAAAGGAAAGAGCCCAATGCACTCGGTTTATGTTAGTTTATTATTGTAACATTTTGTTGTGAACATCAAACACTGCACCAAATATGAGCCATTCATCTGAAGACATCTTTACCGTGACTGAGGCACTGCGCTGGTGTTTACAATTACACAACCTAAACTGCTTAGTGATTATCAAATGTCACCAGCTGAACACAGTTATGAAAAGAGCGTCTTCCCTCTGCCTTCAAATCAAAATGAAAGGTTTTCACCTGGAAAGAGCACTGACTTCACCCGGTTTTAAATAAATCCCAGCATGCTCAGAAACAAGGTGTCCCAGAGCTACGCAATAACGCTGCAAGTTCCCTGCAGCAATCAACTGCAAGAGGAGAAGGTGTTCCTGTCGTCCTAACCGTTCCTTCAGCAGCACTGCAGCTTTAGTTTTGGGTCATCACAATAGTACGTTTCTTTCCAACTGAAACTATGCAGATGGGTTAGACCACAGGAAGTGCAGTCCTGATCACAGGGCTAAGTGTGCATCCTACACAGCCTGATGGAGGGAGAGCAGCCATCAGTTCTACTACAGTGCTTCAACACTGGAGTTAGAGTGAGCTGGAGGGCAGAGGGCAATGCCGACAGCGACTCCGAGGCCAATCTGCCAACAGTGCCCCGTCAGCATCACCTGCCACTGGCGACAAGGGAGATACTGCAACAAGCCATCTAAGGGTTTGTGTGCAAACACACTTGAGGGCATCTCTCTTTCACAGAAAGAACAAATGTCATTTGTAACAAATGGCAATGGATTTTCAGCACAAACCTAATACTTCAGAACACTACAGCAATAGTAATCATCTACTTTCAGCAAGAAGACTCCTTTAAATAAGGAAAAAGAGTTACATTCATTAGCCTAAATACCCACTGATCAATCCGGAGTGACAAGTGCAGGGCTAATGGAGGCGGGGGTGGGGGGTGGGGGAGGGGAGCAGCACAGGCCAGGAGCCCCACAACCTAAGCTGGGCCCTCGGAGAAGGCCCATGTGTCCAAAGAAAAGAGTTTGCCAAGGCAAGGAAACAGGCTGCTGAGGACAAACTGAAACTGTGAGGAAACATGGTGAGATTTTTCTGTACCACAGATTCTACTGAGCTCAGGGTAAGCGCACACAACTCTTACTCCATAAACCAAAGGGGGCTAAATCCCAGGCGGTGCCGAGACCTTGACAGCATCATCACGTGGCCACGTGGCTGCTCTACAAATCTTACTTCACTGCCTGGGAAGAATTTCACATAAACAACTGAGTTTCCTTACACCTAACACAAAGAACTCATGAAGGAGACACGGGCTATTTATAGTGAGGCCAGCACTGTGGAAGCCTGCATTGCCCCCTCTGCGAGCATTGCCCCCGGTGGTTCTGCCACCGACAACTACGTTCAAAGGGTTTTTCCTTCTGTTAAAGAATGTTACATGGTCGCTGCATTCAACTGCAATACTGAAACGAGGCAGGGACACTCGACTCTCCAATCTGGAAAATAACCCCCCCCCCCTTTCTAAGCCATCTGGGTGAAGCAAACTGAAACACTGTGACAGGGCCAGCCGTCCAGCCGCAGGGTGCAGGGCTGAAGTGGAACCATCTTTCCCTGCAGTGCCCGCTCTGCTCAGCCTTCATATCCACCGTCCGAGAGGGCTGTACCAAGAACCAGTGAAGGTCCCTGGGACGCCTTCCGCCAACACTTCTCTGGATGTTTGCACTGCAGTGACTGTCCACACCCTGTTCATCAGAGGCTGTGGAGAGTCCAGGACATAACTCTCCCTGTCACATCTGTCCTGACATTTGACAGTGCATGCTGCTGCCAAGAAAATGCAGGGGTACCCACATCCCCACGAGGCCTCATCTGCAGTATCAACTGTGTGAACTGGACGATGGGCTGGGGCTGCTGCCGCGGTGCTGGCTCTCCACAGGCGCTCCGTGGCCCTCTCTCCCATGCCTCCAGGGACTCATGGTTGAAGTCCAAATGACTGGTCAATGCTGCCTGCCAGCCAGGGGCTTTTCCCCTGGCAACTCTGAAGCCAGGAGACAGCGTCAGAGGAAAGGGTGACTCCCAGGACCCCGCGCAGCTGCCTTTCTACACTTGTGAGGCAAAGCTGCTGCCTTTTCTGTATTTCAAACAAATTTCTCACGATTATTCCAGATATAAAATGTGCACTTGTTCTTCTGGCTAGGGTAGAGCAGTAACTCAAACGGCTTCTTTCTCCCTGGGAAGCAGGCACAGGTGAGGAGATGATGATGCCAAGGTGCTCTCTCCTCAAAAGCCCACGCTGGTAGAGTTGGGATCATGGCGCTGCACACAGTTGCTGGGGGATGCCCATCTTGGCACATGAAGCAGGTGTCCTAGTTCAGTGACCAAGAGCAGAAGTGTCCCGAGGGGGACATGTACAGGTAGCCAGCAACACTAAGCAGACTTCTGGAGAAAGCCCTGGTTACAGAGAGAAATCATCAACTGAGCAGTGGAAATTTTAACTCTTTACTGTGTAGTAATGTGCTGGTTGTTCTTGTTCAGTTTCTGATTTCTGCCATTCTAAGTCTTGCAGCCGAGGGGCGCAGCACACAGCTCCACAGAAAGCATGTGAGGAAGCCCACGTGATGGAGCACAGGCTTGTACCTCAGGCTAAGGCCCTTAATCCTCTGTCCATGTGCTGAGTGGTGCCTGGGGAGGTGAAAGAGGGCAGCAGTACCAGCTTCGGGGACCCTGTCCCTGTTCTGGAAAGCAGGTTCCTGACTGCAGGCTCCGGGGTCTTCATCTGTAAGAAGCCAGTTACTTTCCCTGTTGGGAGGCAGGTGAGTGTCCCCACCCTGCCGTATAGGCTTCGTTCAAGCTAGGTCATCCAGGTCCACATCAGGGATTGGGTCTCGCCAGTAACAGAAGGAACTGAACTCTGGGCATGGAAAAGCAGAATTCTGTTCCTTACTGAGAAGTGGGAACACGTGTTCCACAAGCTCACTCAGCCTGTGATACCTGGAAGGAATCGGGAAGACATACAAGCTGTTATCTAACAACTCATGTTAAGCAAAGACATGGGTTGTGAGGCTGGCTATTCAGATTATACGAAAGGGCTGCTCAGCACTTACTCAGAGCTCGGCCCCATCCCAGAGTGCACACATTCCTGCTCAGCACTTACTCAGAGCTTGGCCCCATCCCAGAGTGCACACATTCCTGCTCAGCACTTACTCAGAGCTCGGCTCCATCCCAGGGTGCACACTGTCTTCACACATAAAATAACCAGAGACTCCCTAAGCCGCTACCTACAGAGAATGCTCACACAGGTACAGCTCTACTGCTCCTGGTTGGGCCCCGTCTCAGTTCTTATGTGTCCTCAGCTGTACATGGCTGTACACGAATGCACTTACGATGACTTGTTTCCTTTGGTCCTTTCTTGTATTAACTCCCCCTTCGGATTCACGGTGAATATCCTACAGTCTGGAACTCCGACTTGTGTGTAAGCATAGACATCCTGCAGAAGACACCAAAACTTAGCTGGCTCCTCCTAGGCCAGAACCACTACATGGGCTGAAGACGGGAAATCTTGAGACAGATCCACAAAGTGCACAGGGAGCCAGAAATGGGCAGCAAAGAGCAAATCAAGGTCCTCTGAGAATACTGCAGTAACACCTTTAGTAGTCCAGATACAGAGGACTCTCCTCCCCCAAAAGATGCAGTACACAAGGCAGTGTGAGAACTTGCATCATGGTTCTGGTGTGGACCAAGGGTATGGCTTCAGACCAGTCAGAACACAGGCAGAACTGCCTGAGGAAATAAATTCAAAGGGGTTTGGGGGTGGGGTGGGCTAGGATATCCTCTGCATACATTCTTGGGGCCAAAAGGTAACTATAGGACTTTCCCAACTTCTAGGGAAATTTGAGTAAGCCTGGCCTCTAGTGCAGATCCTGGCTACTCAAGCAGCTGAGGAAAGATTTCAAGTTCAAAGGCTGCCTAAGCTACAGAATGGGTAACTTACTGAAATCCTGTTTCAACAAAAAGTGTACAAAGGGACCAGAGGGGTATTCATGGCTGAGAGCACTTGCTGCTCTGCAGAGGGACCTGGGTTTGATTTCCAGCACCCACATGGTGGCTCACAACCACCTGTAACTCCAGTTCTAGGAGATCTGATGCCCTTTCTCTTCCACTGGCATCAGGCACACATGTGGTTCTCTCTATATATGTAGACAAAGCACTCATACACAAGAAATAAATGAAAACACACTCCAAAGACACTTACGTTAGGACGGTTTCCAAAGGCAGCGTAGAAGGGCTGCTTGGACGGGGCGAACAGGTTCTTAATATCATTCAGACACTCGATTTTGAACTTCTCTGGTTTCTTCTCTATCACTTCCCTAAAGAAGAGAAGATACAACCACCAATTCAAAACGGCAGTTTCTACCCGAGTCTGTTCTCAGGCAGACCTTCACCTTCACGCCACCCTATGTTCCTTAATAATCTGCAGGCACCATCAGCATTCTTCCTCTTTTGCTAGTCCATCCTGCGATGGAGTAATTGGGGAATAACATTTTCCCTTCATCATCTTAGAGCACTTCAGGGAGCCAACAAATGACAAAACACAGACACTCTACAGCCTGAGGGACCTGTTAGAGTTCTGTCTCCACCACTCCCCCAGCCCCCAGTGGAGGAGCCCAGCACGCCCACGGGAAAGCTACCTGTGGAAGGCAGAGAACAGACTGCTGGGAGACAGCATCAGAGGGCCTCGGGGCAAGATCGTGCCCTTGTCATTGACCCAGTGCAGATAGCCTCGGGTCATGTCGGCCATGCCGATGGCGCGTGCAGAACAGTATAGAAACTTGTAACCGTTCCTAAAAAAACAGACAAATACAAAAACAGCACAAACGCATACACAAACAATCTGGTTAGCCATGTCTTGTGGATACAGGAAAACTTTTTTTTTCCCTTTTAAAAGATCCAAATAAGTTCCTCTCTTTTACTTTGAAAATGAAATTACTGAATGCAGAAGGAAACCATGGACAAAACAGAAGCATATGCAAAACCAGATTGTGTTAAACTGCAGTGACTTGCACTGACTTAACACATGCTGCACCTAGCTCAGAAAGAGCCAGCGTGGACAAAACTGGACTATATGTAAGGTATTTGCTGTAAAGGATCTAAGGGGCCTTATTTAGTTTGTAGGTCACAAACCAATCTATAGGACAGGAGGCATAATTACACCTGAGTAACTGACATATTCTGACTTTCATAGTATGGTATTCTCAACTCAAGCTGAAGATGGAACTGTATCTCCAGATCAGTGGTACATGGACATGCTAGGATCCCAAAAAGGAAGGCATGGCTTCTCTTGAGGAACTGTTTTCCATGCATGCTTATGCTACCAGTAAATAAACCAGACATTAAAGTCAGCTCTCCTGATAAATCCTAGGAACAATAGTTAACAGTTCTGATGACCTAGGAAAGTTAGTGATTCCCAGAACTTAGCTGAATTATGGCAGGTAAAACGCAATAATAGGATACACAACACTTTTGAAAACAAAACCAAAAAATACCTAGCCATAAACACACAATGTATTCAGATCTATATTATTTTTCTCTAGTTCTTGGTCAAAACAGAACTGGGAAGAGGACACTCAGGAATGGGCACTCACTCATTGATGGAATGGTAGAGCTTCGCTATGCCCTGATGAGTCCAGTCTTTGCCCAGTTGTGGGAGAATCTGTCCCAAAGCATCAGACCTGGTAAGAGGGTAGAAACAGACACCAGAGACCAACATAGAGAGCTGAGCATTTTCATACTGGCTGCCAGAAAGCACCAGGTGGGGACACTGTCTCAAGGTGGTTTCACCTGACTTCATGTAAAGGCAGGGCAGCCCTGCAGTGACACACCCTGAGGTGCTCCCACAGGGGAGTTACAGGAACGCACTGTATTTTCAGAGATAATCCACTAGCACATCTTTTTTTCTCTCATTCCCTAAAATCTTAAACAGTTTGTCTTCACTGAATATTAGAATTTGGGGACCAAATGGCCAAATCTTTCCAAGTTAGATTTGAGAAATCATTTGTACGGTTCCACACACCTCCCCCTCACCCATAAAAGTGACGCCATTTGGGCTGTTTTCAGTATATCTCAGGGCATATGGTTTAAAAGACACTCTCATTATTGCAGGGTTCTGACTGCTACCCACAATATGCTCACGCTTACTTGGTTATTGTTCCATCAATGTCAGAAATGATGATTTTGTCATTCCAGTTCCACAGGTAGATGGTACCCGCACAACGACAGGTACCCTGATACTGGGTTGTAATACTGAATACAACGTCATTGGGGCCGTCGTGGAGCTTCAATTTTGCCTTTCATAAAAAGCACAACATTAAAGAAAGCTGAAAATCCATACTTTGGAGCAGAGTTTAACTCTTTACAATGAAACTCAGAGCATGCGGTTTCTCTGGTGTTAGCTAGCCCCGACTCATGCATGGTTATAATGTGAGGAGACACATTGCCTGAGTACTGTTTTCCAGTCCCAAGGATTTCCTGATACCCTATACAAAACAAAACCTCCCTATCGTCCATCACACCTAAAATCACTATTCACTGCCCTGATCACAGCCTCATGCTCAACTCAGGAAAACCATTTCATAGTACAACTGTGTCAAAGTGAGAGGGAAGAAATCGCATTTAAGATGTCACTGCTCTGCTGTTATGAACGCCAAGCAGCAGCAGCATGTGGTCCTGTGCTGAATGAGCAATAAGATTCACCAGAGAAACCTGCTAAAAATACCCATTCTTTGGTTCATTTCCAGAAACTGGGGCAGGTGTTCTATGTGGGGAGGAACCCAGGTCACACGCTCCTTGAGTGGTCCTAACTGCTCACCAGGACTCGGGGGTGCTGTTCTCCTACAGAAGCACTTATATAAGCACAACTCTACTGCATAATACTTACTATCTGATCCGAGGAGAGTCGGAGAGACTTCTTATATGAAGCTGTGCTACAGTGACTCAGTGTCTCCATGGAGATGGTTTCAACTTTGATTGTTTCTTCCAACTCCTGTGACCCCTCATCACTAGAAGAATCATTCTCTGCAGGCCTAATCAACAAACTAGTCACAAAGAGCCAGGCTACTGACAGATGAGAAGGCTTATAATTTAGGACAAGAAAATAAACAAGTGTTACACATCCATAAGCCAAGTCTCCACAAGACTGAGGCAGAAGGATCTGCTCAAGCTTTGGCTATAGTAAAACATCATGCAAAATGAGCATTCACTGGGCATAGCAGGAAATATTTCTAAATTTAGAAAATTCTCTCTATACTTCTTTTCCGAGAGAAAGTAAGGAGAGTGAGAAGATGAACCCCAGACTAGGGTTACCACTGTGGGAGTGAGGTCAAAGGACAGGGTTGGAATGTAAGCACACACAACACGACCGAGCCAACTCAAATGCCCAAATCCACCCTTCAGAAGCTTTTTAATATCCCTTCTGCCACCCGAAAAGCAGGGGAGTAGGGATACCAGCGGGGCAGTCCTGATTGTGTCCAGGATCCCTTCCCGAAGTTCTGCCTTTCCTAGTAGCCTGGCTCTGTGATGGGTGCAGTATTAGAAGCAACGCTGTGTATTTAAGTCCTGTAAACCGGGAAAGGCATTCTTTATCTACCAAGTGGCACTGGCAAGCCACTTACTGTCATGTCTTTCGATAGGAAAACGGTATTATGGCTAAAACTCAGCAGAATTGCCAAGATCAACTTTGATCTTACACCCAAGCAGGATTGCCCAAGTGCTGTGAGCTAGGAGAAAGGAAAGGGCACCCACCTGGCACTGGCTGGCTCCTCAGCACTGGAAGGTAGGTCATTTGTTGGTGGGACCTCAGATTTTCCCTCCTTGGTCTCTGGTAGCTGGACAGAAAGATGATAATGTCAGTGTACAATGTTTTCTCCAAACTTCGGCTGTAGTCCTTGCTAGGAAACAAAAACCTCCACCCATGAGTGCAAACTTGAGGAACTTTTTCCACTTAAAGTTGAAGGGCAGAAATCACACACTGCTTGTAAAAAGCTAGTCACAAAATATAACTGGCCCAATGGTCAGGTATCTGGTTGAGACATCTGGACTGCACCACGGAAGTAACTACTGGTGCCTTCTCCTGTCTGTCACCTGCAGAAGAGAGAAAGGCAGCCCGACCACACTGATATGGACATGAACTTGGTAAAGGCAAGACCACTCTCTATTATCTGAAAAACAACAGCCTTATTTTAGAAGGCTCTCTGGACAAACCTGCTCTCCTGCTACTTTGTTAAAAGGGACATTCTGCATGTTTGTATGTGGATTGTGCAGGATATAACCTCTGTTCACACCTGAGAGCTAACCAGGAAGCAGAAAGAGCAGTGTTCCGGAGTCAGACTCAAGTTCCTCCCCAGCTCCACCCTCACTACTCACAGGGCTCTGCCTACAAAGTCCAAGCTTCCTAAAAAACCAGCAGCTCAAACAACTGTAGAAAGCAGTGTAGCGAGCAGCATGGAGCCACATCTGATAATCAGCTCCTAATTATGCCTAAGACCTGACTTATGCCTGATCACGCAATGATCATCAGCTGCTTGCATATGCGTGGGCCTATGGGCAGTACCCACCTGGCAATCTGGGATTGGCAGCCCATGCCTACTTAAGGGCTGGGAGAGGTTTGCCCGGAGAGAGAGGTCAAAGAGAGGGAGGGAAAGAGAGAAGGAGAAGGAGAAAGATTACTGTGAATAAAGTCCTGAAAACTGCTGCAAGAAGAGCTCCGGGTGTTGCGTTTTCCTTGCTGGTGGAGGGTGGATGCGACAAAGCAGCAGCGTAGCACCTGCACGCAGCAATGCCTCAGAACTGTCATACAGTGCCCGTACCCTGCTTTTTATGAGTGGCAGAGAAAGAGCTGTGTTTACACAAATCAGTCATTACCTGTTTGGTCATGCTTTCTCTCTTACGCCAAAACCACCACCGACCAGATTTCTTTGGCATCTTGTCTTTAACCCAGGACTCAACCGTGGCCTGCAAACAGTCAGTGTGGGTCAGCACAGGAGATCTAGCAGTTGTAATCACCGACTCCTCACTACCATTCTCCTGTAGGACAGGGCCTTACTACAGAATGAGAGACGCTCTCCACAGCTCAAACCATCAAGTGCTCTCCACAGCTTAGGACGAAAGGCCATGCACTCCTTGGAAATGACAAGGCTCCAGGGCAGGTTTGTGTGAGGCCCAGTGGACCTCAGGGGTCTGCAAGCACACAGCCAGCTTCCACCTCTTATTCTTGGAATCTGCGGCTTTTATGATACAAAGTCTGACGAAGGAGTGATATCTTGTGGGTGAGCAGAAAGTTCTCTGTAACAGGCGTGCCAACTGCAATCTGATTCAGCCACATGAATGTCACCTTTCGGGAGCCCACTTCTTGCTGTTTCTCCCCATATTGAGAAGAATTTTTAACTGATGATGTAGTAAGACCGGGGACTGCACTCAGACCTTCTCACGTTCACGAAAGTGCTCTACCTCTGAGCACTCAGTCTGCAGCTCAGACACTGGGATACATAAATACGTAACAAAAATGGAGACAAGTGGCAGCCCAGGTGATTGCCTAGGATTTAGTGAATACGGCAGTTTGGATACTAAACTCAGAACCTTGACGAGAATGCAGTAATAGAGAATATAAACGTTTGGACTGTTGTATGTTAGACACTTTGAAGGAGACTTCAAATGCAGATCACTCACCTTAGGTAAACTCTTCTGGAATACTTGCAAGCTAAGGATCATGGGAGCAGCCAAAGCCCAGTTGTAGTAACTATGAGAAATAAAAATTGTGCAAACCCATCACACAGAGAGTCAGAAGCAAAAGCAGGGTTTGGGGGCAGGGCTGGAGCCTAGAGAGCGTCGGGGGACCAGAGGAAAAGTATAAGAATAATCTTATCAAATTGCTTATTCTTTCCAATAAAGAGATGAACGACTAAATTTTGTATTTATGGTTGTGAGCCTAGCCTTTAACGACTGAGCCATCTTTCCAGCCCTGAACGACTAAATTTTGAAGATCTGCTTTAAGCCAAACTTTTATGAGCCGAGAAGCAATAAGACTCATAAAACACAGAGACAGCATTTCACCAGCTCAGGTCAAAAGGTGAAGGTTCAGCCTCACTTGTAAATCATTGTGTTCTTGTTTGTGTGATGACAAATCTTACAGCAAGGAAAACAATGGCAGTTGGAAACTTTGGAGTACTTAGCAACAATCAAGGCAACGGTGCTTACCGGTTATATATCCGTATTACAAGGTTCGGGTTGTCGATAAGGCCAGGGTTTTCTGCAAACTCATGGTAAGTGATGATATGCTCCATGAACTTTTCTGCAAAGTAAAGCAGCCATCAGCATGTGAGAGGCACAGATCTCTAGACAGTCACAGCACTCAGCACGTGAGAGGCACAGATCTTTGGACGGTCACAGCACTCAGCACTAAAGGACTTGTGGGCTTAAAAAAAGGCTTTTAGAGGAAACTATGTTTTCCCCGTTTATCAAGACACTTTCATAATTTTAGGACTCAAACTAAACCCCAAATCAAAGTATAAAAACCCCCACCCCCTTTCTAACACTCCGTGAACTCTGCTGCCATCTGAAGCAGTTCTGGGGAGAGGAGACAAAGGGCTGCGCTAATATGATGTGCCAGTCACAGAAGGAGGGCTGTCTTCCAGGAAAAGCCATTACAGGTAGGGGCCAAACTCAGAAAAGTTGTAACTTAAAGTGAATACAAAGTGGGTAAGGGCAGGACAACTGAGGGGTCACATCTGCCTGGACTACAAAGGTCAACCCAGGCAAGTTGTTCAGTGCTGTCCACACTACAATAGCAGGGGATCAGGTGGAGCTAGTGGTGCACTGGCAGTTAACTCTTAACACAGGAGGTGGGGAGCAAAGGCTGCAAGAACATGGGGCGGACGTCCCTCAGGCCTGGGACAGAAGGCAGTCAGACTGGTGTCAGTGGACAGACACAGCCCCACAGCTTCAGTCTTCCCTTGTTGAGTCCTGAGCTCGTCAGGAAGGCAGCTAGGCACTCCCCACGGACGGGTTCTTCAGCAGTTTCACACACACGCAAGATCAATTTCCGAGTGTGAAATAAGTCTCACAATAGAGGTCCTCACGGAACTACCCCCCACACACAAAGGCCCTGTGAGACAAGGCCTTATGGAAAGGTACCCACACGCACACAAAGCCAGTCAAGAATTTATGGTAACTCAAAGTAGATTTCATTAATATCTTCCCCTCATGCCAGTAATTTACTGAACAGAGGTCTGGGCACAAATCAAGCGATGACCAGGCTTGCCCTTCTGTGGTGAAGACAGGCATGGCTGTCCAGCATACCTTTAGAAATCTCTCCATTCTCACTGAGGCCTCCACAGAGGGAGAGGGTAACATCAGGCAAGTCCATGGCAGAGTCTGAGAGGCACTCGGTGCCACTGTCTGCAGCTGCACTTCCCACAGACTGTGGGGACTGAGAGCCAGAGAATGTGTCGGATTCAGGCCATTGCCGGGAGCCAGGATCGGTGTCACTGTGGCAGACAGAAGGAAGGGGAACTAAGGATTTATTCCATTTTTGGCGTAATACATGGTCCTCTAGAATCCTACGAGGAACAGATGGGAAATCAAACGTAACTTCTGGGGTGTATGAGTGCATGATGTATGCATGTAAGTACGGGGTAACAAACACACATGAAAAGGCCGGAGTATGGGGTTCAGCCAGGTGTTCTCTATCACTCTGAGACAGACTTACCTGCTGTAAACAGGTAAGTTCAGGCTCCCTGAACTGCAACTTGCCATTTGGGCCAGGCTGGTCAACGCCAGAGCTCCTGGGACCTACCTGTCTCCACCACTCAAGGCTGGAGTCAGAGGTACATAAAGTGCTATGTCCTGTTTATGGGGGGGGGCTGGGGATCTGAACTTGGGCTCTTATGGTTCTCATAGTGAACTGCTCTTATCCACCAAGCCATCTTCCCAGTGACCCTGCTCCACAGCTTTTTAAAGTAGAGTTTAAAAATAGCCGGGTGGCAGTGTGCACGCAGCACTCAGGAGGCAGAGGCAGGCGATCTCTGTGAGTTCAAGACCAGCCTGGTCTACAAGAGCTAGTTCCAGGACAGGAACCAAAGCTACAGAGAAACCCTGTCTCGAAAAACAAACACAAAACAACAAAAACCTCACATTATAAATGGCAGCAGCAGGAACCTGAGAACTAAGAAATTAACTACAAATGTAGTAAACACTTCTCGTGGGGCCAGTGTTTCAACTGGGGCCTTCCTGACTGCAACTAAGGGGTAAGAGAGTTAAAAGCACTTACTCAAATTGCCACAATGAAATAACAGGACAGTTAAGAAAAATCTGACATTTGGAAGCCCTTTGATCACTGCATTCCAAGAAAAAGGGCATGGTAATATACAGTCTGTAGAAAATTACTAAGTCCAAAGCTGTGTTCTGAAAACAAAACCCAAGGCTTTCCTAAATTCATCTTAATACTATCCCAAACTAGCCTAATTTAAAAGCAAAAACCCTCAAGGACAAAGTACTCAGGAGGCCGGACCCTCTAGAACAATGCAGACTGTCTGTACAGCAGCGAGGCCTGGACCTCACTACTCTTATTTCTGAGACAAGGTACAGAAAGCTTGGTGCCGGGAGGAGTGCACACTGGGCGTTTGGAACGGAGCTTAAATGTGAAGTAAGGAGATGGCACGTCACGTTTCTCGGTCACAGTGGAAACTACTCTAATATTGGAGATGCTCGGATTGCTCACCTAGAAGCCAGCTCTCCCTCCTTTTTTTAGTTCTGGGGGTTGAACCCAGGAGCCTCATGTGTGGCGAGGCAGGCACTCGGCTGCTAAGAGACATCACCAACCCAAGAAGCCAGGGTCTTTCACCAAACATGACACACCTGGTGACATGAACGTGTACTTCTGGAACCATCTAAGGGCTGAGGAGCAGGCGGCAGCAGAGTGTAGACACGCAGGCATGTTCTCATGGGAAGTCGCTTATGTTTGGGGAATTTCCTCTTACTAGCAATGGGCACCTTTAAACTAAGAGGAAACTGACAGAGAGGTGGTCTCCTCACAAGAGCCACGCCCACTGAGATACGGAAGTGGGAGACGGCGGTCTCACATCCTCCTGTCCCCATCTGTTCCTCTGTAGAGCCCGAGACAGAGGAAGGCCTGGGTGTGGGCCTCCCAACACTAGTGACGGAACACTAGCCCAACAGTAAGACATGGAGCTTTATCAGTGACGGCAGCTGGTGTCATCCAGCCAGAAGGGCATGTCAACATGAGGGCTGCCTTCTGACTCAGCATGCTGCCAAACCCACAGGAATGACGGGACACGTGTGGACATCAGCTGTATAAGTTATGACTATTTAGTAATATAGAGTGACAATCACAACAGAGCACACTCGTATGCAGTCAAAGAGCCTATGACATGCCCCAGTTTTCAGTCCTTCCGCTACATGTGGCTAATCAACAGCAAAACTATAACCAAGTTCCACTGCATTAGTGACTATTTCCTTTCTTTGAGACGTGGTTTTCTATTATGTAACTCCCGCTGGCTGCCCTGAAACTCCTTATGTAGACCAAGCTGTCCTCTAACTCACAGAAATCTACTTGCTTCTGCCTCCTGAGTGCTGGGTTAAACTGAAGTGTGTGCCAGCATGCCTGGCCTTGCTCCCTATTTTTTAATAGGGATATTTAAAAAAATCCAATATAAAACTAAAGTAAAAGGACTGGGAAATGAAAGTCATAATTCTAACAGATCACATTTTAATTTTTTTCTACCCTTAAAAAAACTGGACCAATTTCAATTTTTTCATCTATAAAAACCCATTACTTCAAATAAAGTATGTGGGTATTTTAAGATAGTCTACTATACAGAGTTACGAACAAACTTTAAGAACTGCTCAAAAATATCTGTTAAAAATCTTAAATATATTTATGTCAATCTCATTTTCCATTCCAAGTAAAAAATGAAGTAGGTTTTCCCAATAAATCATATAAAACAATGCTTGTATATAGTGCACAGTAAATTCAAACCACATTTTCTGAGAAGGAAATTAAGTTTTATAATCAGCATTTTAAGTAGTAATTCCTTTTAGGCTAAAATGACTTGGGAACACGGTTAGCATACATTGTATTTAAGGTTCATGGTCGAGTTACCTTAAAATAATGAGAAATAGGAAGAATGGTTTGTGACATGGTAGGTAGGGACTATGGGCACTATGGGGACACAGGGTCCCCGAGAATGGGGCCTTATAAGACTCGGGTTCAGAAGTGGATTCACATTCTTCAAAGGAGTGAGGAAATTCTTTGTAAAATGGTTGTAAATTAAAATGTGCTGTTTAAAACACACAAATAAAACAAATGCCAAAGAATTCCTCAAGTGGATTCAGTTTGTTATTAACGACTACAAAGAGACTAAACTAGTTCCGCAGGATGGCTAAGCAGGTGGAGTGCTTGCTGAGGGAGCCTGACCACCTGAGTGCAATCCCTGGAGCCTGTGTAGAGCAGAGAGGACTGATCCCGCTGTCCTCTGCCCTCCACAAGTGTGCACTGTAGCACCAGCACCACACACACACACACACACGCACACACACACCCCTCTTACACAGGTCGCTCTCCTTATTGTACTAAATGTTTCATAAACAACACACTATTTTCAAGTCACTGCACTCAAAACAACACACACTATCTGAGAGCTTCCCCAACCTGAAGCATAAGCAGATTTAGCTAAGGATCATCACTCTGTTCCTTTTGCTCAGATGAAACAACTGGAGTTTCTCAAGCTGTTCACACCGCACCGCACCACACACACACATACTACCTTTTAGGGAAATAGAGAGCTGCCACTTCAGGCTCAAGAGCCTTTAAGTCATCAAGGTAAATGTCGTCAGGTCCCTGGTGCTGACTTCTTTTGTGGACACCTGTTATTAAAAGAAAAACACACCAGAGGTAAGAATTTGTTCTCTATTTACCAACTCTGCAATAGCACGAAGTTTTCTAAACAGAATGGGCCACTATCCGCCTAAAGCAAGGTGTTCCTGCCTTGCCCTTGTCCTCACTTTGTGCCCTGTTTCCTTCTTTCTCTGTGTGTCTGTCAACAGTACTTTAGTTCTACAGAGAATATACTTGGGTGGCATGTCCTGGGGTCTTTAAGGGAGAAATGTCACAATGTCTAGAACTTGCTGTTTGTGAGTCAGGAGATGGCAAGGAGACACAGCTGTGCACTGCACCACATAAGGATACTTCAGTGGATGCACATATAATGGTGGTACCTAGGAGTGTCTTAGGGTAACATACCATGTCTGTAATGATGGTGGAGTAAATGAACCTATGGCATCACTAGTCCTGTTAGTATAGCAATCTATACTAACATAAATGTACATGATATAATGCTTGATAATGATGAAAGTGACTTGTTTATTTATTTACTATTAGTTTAGGGCACACTCCCATATACCTACTGAAATCTAAAACAGTATGTCATCCTGGCACGGTTCCTGCATCTCCTGACTGCACCAAGAGGACAAGTCGACTGATTTACACTGTGTAAAAAACAATACTAAGTTGCTTGATGACATACTTCTCAGACAACATCTAAGTGATGTACCACGGTATGTATAAAACTTTCATAATCAAGTTCGGGGGGGGGGGAGGGCGGTAAAGAGAATAAAGAGACTAAAGCTAGGAAATGGTAGGAATCTTTCTCCTAACCCTGTGAATTCCTACAGTGTCTTAGACCAAACCAAAGCATCTACCATACAAGACCTGGTCATGCCCCTTAACAGTTCTTACATCAGAACACTTGGTGTACATTTCTGAGAGAGTCACTGTCAGCTAGTCATCAGATTTGGTCACAGATCCCCTTGACAGCCACAGTCTTACTTTTGACAACTCATTTATGAATGATCTGGGTCTGTATCAGTTTGTCAACACGGAATGTCCCATGCCCCTTTCCTTCTTGTCTTCAAAGTGAAGCAGGCACTCAGCTAATAAGACAGGCGGCTTTAGGTAAGGTTTTACTTCCTTAGACAAAGGCTCCAAGTCAGCATTCAATGTGTGTAGTTTCTGACTCTTACTGAGACAATTGATACAGAGTAAGGAGTTGTGACAAGGGCTGGGCTCATCCACAACAATTTAGGAGGGAAATTAGTGAAAGAAAGCACCAATAAGTGGACACTTAAAAATATTTCTATTTTAGGTGTATGGTGTTTTGCCTGATATATGGCCATGTGCTTGGTGCCCAGAGACCAGAAGAGAGCACGGAGTCCCCTGGAACTGGAATCACAGATGATTGTTAGCTGCCATGTAGATGCTGGGAATCAAACCTAGGTCACTCAAAGTGCAGCCAGTATTCTTAACCACCACCACCTCTCCAACCTCCCGTAGCTATTTATTTTTAAACCATACGAAACCTACAAAATTTTCCTTTAGCTAAGCAGATGTCTGAGAAAATATTTTTTTCTCCATTCTACTTTTACTTTTATTTAAGCAAAAGGCCATTTAAGATTTTACTCACTAGCATATTTAGTTAATAATCAAAGACAGCACATGAATCTTGGTAGAACCTTAGTTTAAAAGCATAGCACAGGCTGGGCGGTGGTGGCACACGCCTTTAAATTCCAACACTTGGGAGGCAGAGGCAGGTGGATCTCTGTGAGTTCGAGACCAGTCTGGTCTACAAGAGCTAGTTCCAGGACAGGCTCCAAAGCTACAGAGAAACCCTGTCTCAAAAAAAAAAAAACAAAAAAACAAAAAAACAAAACAAAAACAAAAGCATAGCACAGATACTGAGTGTACCTGGGGAATATACATATGATTTCTTCACACCGACAGTGGACTGTCACTGTACTCACCAACTGATTAGAACACAATTCATTTACTTTCTTAGTAAGTACTTCTTAGAGGTCCACGGAGTATTGACTCAGAAACTAACAGAAGGATGCTTACCACCTTGTTCGGAATTTAGAGAGTAAGAGAAGTAAGAGACCACATGGGTAAGTCATCTCAATGAAGTGTGGGACATGTTCTGACTGGAGATCACAGTATGTGAGACACTGAAATAATACACCACCCACTGATGCTGTGTGATGTCAAGCACACAATTACCTTTCTTCTTTGTTGGTGAGTCTACTTTAGCAGCTGGTTTGGATTCTGAGGGAGCTTCTATTGAGGATGGACTGGGAACATGGTCTGCATCTAACATAGATGAAGTCTGAGGAGCCTCGAGAGGCAGTTCAGGAAGTTGAGCAGAAGCTGCATCACTCAGCTGCTTACACAGGGCTCTGGGTTTGGGTTTCACTATGGTACAGATAGTATCTTCAACAGTAACGTCCTTCTCGACTTCTCTTATGAGGCTGTCTTCACTGGGAATGACCCTAAAATGAGTGTTTTCCGACGGTGTAATTGTAGCCGTCCTTGGATGACAATCGTATCTTTCTCTTTTGCTGACCTGAAATATGAAATTGTTTAAAAATGCTCATCTTGAGGGACACAGCTCACAGCACACATGAAAACTTCATTCACGACCCCACTGCTCCTTAAGGCAACTTAAAGCACTCAGTCATATGAACAGGTCAATTTCTGTTTTTACAAAACTGAATTCAACATGGGATTTAAATGATTTTCTTCCAAGAAATGGATCTTTCAGTACATTATTCCCTCATCGTGAGCAGCTGAAAAGTCTATGAACCTCCTCCTGCCCACTGTCTAGAGCACAGCAGGCAAACCTTCACCAGCTGAGTTAGATCCTACCCTAACTTTCGGGATTTAATTTTTCAGTGGGGAAACTCTAGTTTCTTTCAGGTATCTTTAAATTTTTTAATCAGCATTATTTGTTATATGTAGAAACACAAAAGATATTATTGTATTAAGCTATAAGTAAGTGTACAGTGGAAATTTTATAAAGAAATGTTAATTTCTATTTATCTTTCAACCACAAGAGGGCAATGCCATCATTGTGCTCTGAGCTCAATAAGAAATTGCTTCCTTTGTTTAACAGCAAAGGCTCTTTACTGGTGTTTACTCATCATGTGGGAGTCCCCTCTGTGTGCTGCTTACAGTGGTTAATAAATAAAGAAATTGCCATGGCCTGATAGGGCAGAACTTAGGTAGGCGGAGAAGACAGAACTGAATTCTGGGAGGAAGAAAGCAGAGTCAGAGGGATGCCATGGAACCGTGGCTGGAGGTAGATGTGCTGAAACTTTTCTGGTAGGCCACAACACCTCGTGGTGATATAGAGATTGTCAGAAATGGGTTACATAAAGATGTAGGAGTTACCCAATAAGAAGCCAGAGCTAATGGGCCAAGCAGTTTTAATTAATACAGTTTCTGTGTGGTTACTTCGGGGGCTAAGCTAGCTGGGCGGCTGGGATGAACAAGTGGCCTCCTTGCAACATACTCAGACACATCCTAGTCTTTCCAGGAAGTCCCAGTACCTTGGTAGACTCTGGGAACCCGCCCCAAGTCCATTCCATGTGAGACTCAGATCTGAGCAGGCTCTCGGCAGGCTTCACCTCCAACTCTGAATCACTCTTAGGACACATTGCCTGGGAATAAGTGCTGCAAACACACAAGAACAAAGAAAAACAAGGCTCAGTCTCACTGAGACTCGCAGTGTGTAGAGAAAAGTAAATATAAGTTGAATATGTCAACTACAAGTACAGACACTCCACTGAGGGAAACATCAGTTGCTCATTCCACCTGAGTTCTTTAGTAAAATAAAAATGACAGTAAGTGATAATTAAGAACTTTCCAGGTCTCCTGTAGGCCCTCCATAATGTTTGCTTCTCACAAGAAACCAATGATTCAGATAAATTTGTAAGACAGAAAACACACAGGAAGGTACGATTAATAATCAGTTAACATGGGCTGCAGAAATGGCTCAGTGGTAAAGAACTGGGGAACCTGGGTCCAGTTCCCAGGAATCCCATGGCAGCTCACAATCATCTGCTAACTGTAATCACCTGTAACTAACTTCCTAGGGGGATCCAACTTCCTATTCTGGTTTCTGTAGGCGCCATGCATGCATACGGTGCACAGACATACATGTAGACAAAACAATTTTATGCATAAAATACATAAACTTAAAAAATCATTTAAAATCTGAAGGTTTGATCACAGAAAATGAACAGTATGACCACACATTCTTTCATTACATTATTTATTTGACACCAAATAATAGAATTTAACAGTAGGCAGAGCAAATTCTATGCTAATTATTCAGATTTACAACTAGCAAACACCATCAGAATAAGATTAAATTTAGGAACAAAAATGGTTGTTGAAAACAGTTCACATTCATGTTAAATTTACCTGATGGTTACTCTACTATTCTATAAACAGAAAGTGTTATTACTATCAAATAACATAAAAGCTACTAATATGCACCCCCCCTTCCCTTAGGAAAACAGAAATTCCAGAGCTACTCACGTTTCTAATGGGGACCAATCGCCATCAGATAAGGGATAGTGATCCCCGGAATGGAAGAGTGGAGGCTCCTTATAGTCTTCTTCCTTTAAGGAAGCATTTGAAGATCCTCTGCGAAAGGGGAAAAACAGAGCAAAACCCAGAGAGGTAGGAATGATTTAAAGTCAGCTTTAAAATGGGTACCAACAAGTCTCTTATCAACAGAAGGCCACACGATTAGCAGCATCTTCAGGAAAAGGCTAGCATGATTAAGGAGGTATGACCAAAGCCACTACCATATAACAGGAGGATAGCCAGTTATAGAACACTCACGCCCCAGTAGTGTGTTGAATGTTAAGAGGAATCACACCACTTAATTGGATGGGCTAAAAGCACAGAAAGAAAACTGCCATTTGTTCTTCAACCACTATCACACGGATGTCCTTCCAGGGCTTGGGTCCAGCGCTCAGTCAAACAGGTGGAGAAAATTCTATCTTAAGTGAGATAAAAATGCACATTCTGCCTTAAACTGCTACCTTGAAATTTCAGGTGGTTCTGATTTGAAAAGTGTTACAGGTTTTGAGTACTTCTACTAACTGGTATGTAAGTGGTGATCAGAAACTCCCACTTAAACGGAAACTCCTTTAACTTATAAACTCAAAACAAAACTCTGTTTCCCAGGAAAAGGTCTGATACCAAATATAAGAACCTGAGAAGGGATGCCAGGTGTATTGGTATATACCAATCCCAGTACTCAGGAACTGGAAGCAGAAGGATTATGAGTCTGAGGCCAACCTGTGCTCTACAGTGAGACCCTGTGGAAGGAGGGGGAAGCAGAAAAGAATGGGGGATAAGGAAGAGAATGGGATAGGAAGGGAAGGAAAGGGGAGGAGGGAGGGATGGGGCAGGCAGTGAAGGAAGGGGAGAGGAGGGCATAGAAGACAGGAATAGAGAGAAAGGGGGAGGGAAAGAAAGGGAAAAGGAGGGGAAGTGGACGGGGAGGGGAGAGGGAGAGAATGAGGGAGAGGAGGACAAAGGGGCAGGGAAGGTGCAGAGGAAGGGGAGGGGGAAAGACCCTAGGGTTGGGAAGCTACACAACTGGACTATAATGCTCCCACTTGAATCTGCGCACTCCCAGCAAATTGCTCAGTAAGAGCCGACAGTCTCTTTTCTGAAACGTACTCAATGGAACGAGGCACGCCTCCAGAATGTCCCGAAGAGCACTAGCAGCACAGATCTGACAGTAAGTGGGATGCGATGCTTCCTTCACTGATCCCGCAATAAACAGTTGGGTGAGGAGGGCATCAGACTCACACTACACACCTTCAAGAGTAGCAGCAGCTACTAGCTGCCTTGGGGCTCTACTGGGTGCACAAGCCCCTGTCCAGACTGGGAACCTTACCTTGCTGTCTGGGCTCCCTTCTCATCATCAGAGCTCACACCCACATCACATACGTCTTCTGCGACAGGAGAAGCCGCCTGTTCCTCCTTCCTATTGTCCTGTTTGCACTTCTTTCTCCTTCGTTTCTTCTTTTTCACAGAACTTGGAGCGAAAACTGTCTCTGTTTCCAAGGTGTGAGAAGTATCTGGGCTCTGAGATGGCATTTCATCTCTGCTTGACTTCACCAAAGGGGTGTCAATATCTTTAAAGAACTGGTCTTCAGTAGGAATTGGCGAAGTGGCAAGATAAGCCGGTAGTTTCTCCTTAAAGAATAAAAGAAAAGTTATCTACAACAAACTGGACAGTTATCAAAACAATAATTATTTCTCAAGTATATAACTTTTCACAGGGGTAAGAGGGCATAGTCTGTAAAGGTAGACTTAAATAAACGTGAGTTCATTTCAGTATGTAACTGAGTCTTTGTCAGAACCGCACAGAAGATGAAAAGCCTGCAATTAAATTCTGAGCCGATTAGTTAGGCGGTGGGGGAGCACACCTTAAGTACTCCCAGTACTTTAGAAGAAGGCAGAGGCAAGAGTGTCTCCTTGGGTTCAAGGCCAGTCTAGTCTATGTAGCTGAGTTCCAGGACAGCCAGGGCTATACAAAGAAACCCTATCCTGAAAAACAAAAACAACAAAAAGAATCTGAGCCGATTAGATTCTGTACAAAGAGCTATCAAAGTGGCAGCAGTGTGCTGAGTATTACAAGGACTGACGCAATGGTAAGAGCCTGGTGAAGCAGAGGCCAAGGCCAAGACCACGTCTGACAAGGGCAGCTGGGAAGGATTTAGAGCCCAGTGAACGGAGAGTGAGGAAGTGATCAGGACAGAGGCAACCACCGACAATGGAGGAGATCAGAGCACTTTGATCCAAGTATCCTCTTAGGAACTCAGGAAGAAAAGGCAGCCTGATATTCAGAATAATTAAACTTTTCAACTTAATACTGAATAAATTAAATCTAGTGAACTTCTCATCACTTATTTCAATCAGCAGAAAGGAGAGGTAAACAAGCACAAATTAACTGGCCCATTGCGGGCAGGTGGTCCTGGCTGGTATAGGAAAATAAGCCGTAAGGAACACGCTGGTACGCAGCGATTCTCCATGGCCTCTGCCTCAGTTTCCGCCTCCAGGTCCTGCTCCAACCTCTCTTAATGAAGTAAGCTGTAGGGTGAACTTCATGGTTCATACAACAGAAACATAATTAAGACATCTACCAATAAGACGATTCGATAAACCAGGCAAATCTACACCTTGGAAACCGTTAAAAAGAGGGGTTGTTTCGGAATTGCTGACTGAAAAGGAATGTTGATAATGGTCAAAAAGTCAGATAAACAAAAACTAAACAGCACCTACGGGGGTGGGGGGTGTAGCGGGGGTGGGGTGTAGGGGGGGGGAGAGCAGAGGAAGGAGGTTCTCTGTGAGTTCAAGGCCAGCCTGACCTACCAGGGCTAGTTCCAGGCACAGGCCCCAAAGCTACAGAAAAATCCTGTCTCAAAAATCCAAACAAAACAAAACAACTCCACCACCTAATAGGGTTTTTGTTAACTTTTAATCCCCTTTAAAAGCAGGTCTTGGGCTGGAGAGATGGCTCAGCGGTTAAGAGCATTGCCTGCTCTTCCAGAGGTCCCAAGTTCAATTCCCAGCCACCACATAGTGGCTTACAACCATCTGTAATGAGGTCTAGTGCCTTCTTCTGGCCTGCAGGCATACACACAGACAGAATACTGTATACAAAATAAATAAATGTTTTAAAAAAAAAAAGCAGGTCTTATTTTATTATTTATTCATAGAATAGTAATTCTAATATTTGTAGGATGAATTGGGACTTTTTTTACTGTATTATTTTTATTATAAAGAGGCCTTTAGTATGTAGCTCTGGCTGTCTTAGAATTTACAATTGTGCAGGAAAATCTGGTCTATTTAGTCACATATGAAACAGAGAAAGTTTTGCAAAGTTGATGCTCTTTGAGTTGACCTTGCTAAAGCAGGCTCTAAACAGACCTGCTGGCAGGCCCTGTAGCAGGCAAAGGATCACTGGTTTACATAATGATCGTCAGTGATAGGGCCTACACCTGATCTTCAGAAACATCAAAACGATTGTGCTTCTGATGCCTTACTCTGCTCTTTGCCTTTGCTTCTGAGGAGGTGAAATTGTGTTTATTATAAATGCAAACGAGGTAATAAAACACCAGTAAGATGTCCAGGAAGACAAGAGGATAAGGTTCCTTTGTAAGTTGCACTACCTTAGGGCTACCCCACAGAACAGTGCCAACACTGGAGCTCTTTCCCAAGCTCAGAAAAAAACGCAACCAAAATAATTGTGTTTTGCTATTTTTTTTTTTTTTTTTTTTTTTTTTTTTTTTGGTTTTTCGAGACAGGGTTTCTCTGTTGTTTTTGATCCTGTCCTGGAACTAGCTCTGTAGACCAGGCTGGTCTCGAACTCACAGAGATCCGCCTGCCTCTGCCTCCCGAGTGCTGGGATTAAAGGCGTGCGCCACCACCGCCCGGCTGCTATTTGTTATTTTTGTTGTCATTTTTCTCTTTGTGAATTCACAACATCAAATTAGTAGTTCATCTTCAAACCCCCAAAGTCTCTGTATCCAAATAACTTGAAGCTTCTTATTTTTGCTTTAAGATTTAATTTCTTATGGAAAAAGATAGTGATGCTTCTACAGGGTTTTTAAAAAGAGCCATATTGACTACATCAAGAAGAGCTTGTTCCTGTTCCCACTCAGGAACACCCAGACTGCACAAGGACATGGGGCTGGTACAGATGAGCTGTCTTATAGAAGTCACATGTACACTAATATGCAAGATGACATAGGCCAATTAATTTAACTCTTGACATCATAATTCAGTGGCTCTTAAGGTCATGGGTATAGTATTCCTAACCAAACAAAAGAATCACTAAAAAAAAAAACCTTATTACTATGGGGGGGGGGGCAGGTGGGTGGCACAGCATCACTACGGCATCAGAGGACAACTTTCTGGAGAAGCTCTCTCCTTCCATCTTTATATGGCTCTAGATACCAAACTCACGTTGTCACATTGCCTATCTGGAATGTGTCTTTACCGGCTGAGCTATCTCTCTGGCCCTGTAAACATGTCTTCCGAATCTAAAGGTCACTTATGTACATACTCACACACAGTTTAAGAGATCCATCTCGAGGCAGAGCTGAATGAATTCAAGTCAAGTCATAAGCTTTAGCGAACATGAAGAAGGAAAGCCCTTTGATACTAGACAGTCTCCAAACCCTGAAAGGTGGTATGAGCTTTTTCTGGGTTTAGTACAACATGTAAAGAAAGCCTGTTAGGCAATACCAATCATCCACACAAGCATGGGAAGAGCTGAGCAGTTGTTCTGAGACGTGTTCTAGAAGCCGGCACAATGTGCACAGGGGCCGCGACCTTCGAGACTTACATATTCTTCTTCAGTCTCCTCCACAAAGAAGGCTTCTCCATTATCACCCAATTTCATATGAAGATCCACCGCACTGCCGTTGATCTCTATATCAATCTAGGGAGGAAACACACACAATTCAGCACAAAGAACCTTTCATCTAGGCTAACCTAAACCTCAATTCTTGGCTCACACGCCAAATGCAGCACTGGGTTTCTAGAGATATAGCTCAGAGAAACACTGTTACCAGCCCCAGAGTCCACCCCTGAAAGAAATAAACTTGGGTACTGGGAGAGAATCAAAAGAAATGTTTTCACAGCACTTTAAAACTTATTGCTTAGTCTCTAGGTTTTCTTTTCTTTCTCTCTTTGGAGGACAGGGTTCTGCTAAATTGCCTATCCTGCTGTTGAACTCACAAAATTCAGGCTTAGATTTTTCAAGTGCTGCAGTTACAAGTCTGAGCCACCACGCCCAGCTTAACCTGCCGAATATTGCAAAATGTGAGAAATATTGTTAACAAACATTTCTGTGTTTCCCAAGTTATAGACAGCATATTAGGGCCTGTCTCACAGAATTCAAACATTAAAATGTTTCAATACCCTCGTATTGAGCTTTGTGTGAATTCCCTGCTAGGGTTTTTATCCCAGGTCCCTATGCAACAAGAGATGCTGTAAGGACCAACGAGCGGTCACTGGTCTTCTGCGAAGTCTGCTGGTGACTGGCACTGCGTTTTGTTATTCAATTCAGCCACAGAGCAAAGCTAGGAGGCATGTGGTTATAGATATCTAACTTTTGTATATGTGCGTACATGTATGTATATCTTTGTGTATGTGTGGGTGCATATGCACATGTGTGTGCATGGAAGTCAGAGATCAAACTCAGGCTGTGAGTCCTTTAGGCACTGTTCATCTTTCTTGAGACAGGGCCTCTCACTGGAACCTGGGCTTGCCTGATTAGGGCAGGCTGGCTAGGCAGAAAGCCTAGGAATCTGCTTGTCTGTCTCCCCAGAGCTGATACCAACAAGCACATGCTACCACGCCCAGTACTTACACTGGTTCTGGGGAATCAAACTTGGCTCCACGTGCTTGTAGAACAAGCACATCACTGACTGAACCGTGTCTCCAGACCTCATGTAACAGTTTATAAAAATGAACAATTCAAGGAGGAAACTATTGGCCAAGATAGAAAACATGGGGGAAAAAAAAGAACGGATAGCGATGTAAGAAAAATTCAGCTTTCCCAAGGTCTCACCTGGAAAGTGAGTCCACAACCTCCCAAATGCAGAGTTGTGGAGCCCAGGCCCAATGTATACACAAACTCTTGCACTCAGGGAGCATTGCAGAAAGAGGGGCAGGGAGATTGTAAGAGCCAAAGGATCAGGGAGTCTGTTGTTTGATTGTGCTTCCTAGGAATGTTAGAGGTGACATGAGTCTCACCAGCCAAGATGAACAAAGACAACAACACTGTACTATGTGTACATGCTAATGTGGATGTGGGCGGGGAGACGAGAGGCTTCAACCTGAAACAGACACCTACAGGCAACTATGGACGCTAAGTGTGAGAAAGTCTTCTCCAGACTTATCATGATCTGTCCTGAAAATATACACACAAATAACATTATACAGACTGTTTCAGATCTCTCTCTCTCTCTCTCTCTCTCTCTCTCTCTCTCTCTCTCTCTCTCTCTCTCTCACACACACACACACACACACACACACACACACACACACACACACACGTATTTAACAATTAATGAATAAAGAATCAAGAATCAGCCAGGCAGTGGTGGCACCATGTCTCTAATCCCAGTACTCAGGAAGCACAGGCATGCAGATTTGAGTTTGAGGCCAGCCTGTAGTTTATTTTTTCCCTCTATTCTCTCGGTGGTGGTGGGGCACCCAGTTCCCTAATAATCACATGGAAACTTATTCTTTTTATGAATGCCTAGCATTAGTTTGGCTTGTTTCTAGCCAGCTTTTCTTAACTTAAATGATCCCATCTACCTTCTGTCTCCGGGCTTTTATCTTTCTCTATTCCATATACTTTTCTTTCTTACTGTATGGCTTGTTGTGTGATTGTCCCTGATGTCCTTTTCAATCCGTCTCTTTTTCTCCTCCTACTTAATCTCCCTGCTTGGCCGCCTCGGCTAACCTTTCTCCTGCCTAGTTATTGGCTGTTCAGCTCCTTACTAGACCAATCAGGTGTTTTAGACAGGCAAAGTAACACAGGCTTACAGAGTTAAAAGAATGCAACATAAAAGAATGCAACACATCTTTACATCATTAAACAAATGTTCCACAGCATAAACAAATGAAACACATCTTAAACTAATATTCCACAACACCAGCCTAGTCTATAGAGCAAGGTCCTGGACAGCCAAAGAAACCCTGTCTTGAAAAATCAAAAGGAAAAATAAGTTATGAATCTGAAAGAAAGCCAGGATGGGTATCGGGGAGTGTTTGGAAGGAGGAAATGATGTTACTTATAATTTCAAAACAGAAAATATAAAAAAAGAGAAATTCAAATGAAATTTGAACATTACAGGAGAAACAGCTCACTACAGGAACCATAAGCTTGGGTGAAATATGCGCGCGTGTGCCTACATCTAGACTGGGTTCCTGATTTGCCAGCTGAGACATCTTAGAAGTAATGAGAAAAACCTGTGGTCAGATTATTGCTTTTAAATACTAATTAAGTTAAAAGCAACCAGAGCGCTTTGGACACGTAAAATGAATGACTCTAAGGCCGCAGCAGGGAAGAGTTTCCTAGACTACCATATGGAAGAAGGAAACAAATGTGTCAGTTTAAATAACTAAAATATAAGGATAAGGCAAAACCTATATTGTAAAACTAATACTATGGATTCACATGGAGAGCAACTGAGTAACTGAAAAATAGACATGAAGATAAAAGATGGCCCTTAATATAAAATTTAAATTAAGAACTGGAATAAGAAAGGTAAAGATAAATCACAGGTACACACATTAATAATTCTGTAGATAAATTTTAACAATGTACACTAAAATTTATGGGTTGAACAATTATGGGAAATGTGAATATTTGTGTAGTAAGCCAAATGAGGAGAAAAACCGAACATTTTCCTACAAGGGGCTTTGTGGTGGAGCGACCCTAGCAGACACCGGGAACCAGGGATTCACGCAGCGCAGATGAGTGTGCTTTACAAGAGTAAGCATCATTCCGAACTGATATTTCAAATAGCAATCTCCACAAAGGCCTCTGTGTCCCTCTATTCCTTACTGGACAGTCACAGGGAAGGACTGAGGAGCATCAAGGACATGCAGTTCAAGGTCAACACTGGAAAGGACAGTGGAATCCGGGTGATGGCTCTGGTTGACAGCGTATGCTGGCACACATTTCTGGTCTTGGCACAGTACAATGGCCATATGAAGTACTAACTTTAAGGAGAATATATTAGGCAGAGGAAACTTTTAATTTTTATTTCTTAAAATTGTTATATTTATTTCTGAATATTGGAGGTTTAAGAACAACTTCCTGGAGTTGGTTCTTTTCTGTCACCAGGTTCTGCGGACTGAACTTAGGCCATCACACTTGAATGACAAGCACTGTCACTACTGACCATTCTCACCCACCTAAAAGAGATGCAGCAGTCAGCCAGATGCAGAGGAAGCAAGATGAGAATGCCTCACTGAGAAAAGGTACCAAGTCATATGGCTAAACAAAGATAAGAATATGGCTAACTTAAGTTGCAAGAGCTAGTTAATAATAAGCCTGAGCTAACAGGCCAGTTTATAATTAATATAAGCCTCTGTGTGTTTCTCTGAGACTGAATGGCTGCAGGACCAGGCGGGACAGAAACTTCTGTCTACATCCAGGTGCAAACACCAGGACTTCTAAAGGAAGGATTTCTCCTGTGTCTGCTGAGCTAATGGAGGTAAGGTTGGAAGCGCTGGCTGCTCTCTGGCATAAAGAAAAACCCACTCAGAGGCAGCACTCTGAGGTGGGGAACCGAATTCTGGTAGCAATTTGAAACATTTCTAAAACAGCACTGACTGAAGTAGATGCCCCTGGACTTTGGCTTTTCTGCTTATGAGAACAGGAGGCAGTCTCTTATCACCCATGTTGGGGACAGTTTCAATACACTGGGTATTTTCCTTTGATAAATAACCATGATATCGACTTTATGAAAGGTCAACACAAAGTTTGTTTTCTTAAACTCTTGAGTTCTGAGATTAGTAGGAGTGCTGGTGTTCTATCAAACGCCAGCACATCATGGAAAATGACTGCCTCTCTAGATAGTACTTCTAACGTCCTTAGGATTTCAGGTCCATTTCTCAGCTGTAACCATGTCTGAAAATTTAGAGTCAGTTTGAAAAAAAATAAATAAATAGCTGACCCTACTCCCAAAAGACAACAGCCTAATACAACAACTAGTGCATCTTAACACAGACATGGCTTATGTTTTCCTGCCATAAGAAGGCTATTTTTTGATAAACAAAATGGACAGATTTCTTCCCTAATATCCCCCTGAGATTCTGGGATATAAAGGAAGAAACAGGACTGTGCCTGTGTATTATGCTCCTACAAGTACTGGGGTTTTTAACTTTGACTGGGTATTTAATAATGGAATTAACTGTGTGGCCTGGTAAAGAAATCAAACCCCATGAGAAGGCACGCAGAGAATGCACCCATCAGTTCCTCATCACTTCCAGAGGACACTGCTTAGACACCTCTGCTGCAGCTCTGCTCTGCAAGGCCAAAAGACGGAGGCAACCTATCAATTAGAAACCTGGTTCCAGGTGTGGTGGGGTGGAGTGTGGTTGGGAAGAATTTGCTGGGAAGATACGCAGAGAAATTTTACAAACAGATCCTTGGACACCCAATGAGAAACTTCAGGGCATGAATGAACGGTCTGAGTACCCCCAAATAGTTCCAATCTGAAAGCATTAATAGTGTCACTACAAACAAAACAAAGAAACCAACGGTTAATCCCAGTTTTTAATCTCAGCATTCTGAGGCAGAGGCAGGTGCACTCTGTGAGTTCAAGGCCAGCCTAGGCTTACAGAGTGAGTTCCAGGATAGCCAGAGCTACACAGAGAAACCCTGTCTCTAAAAACAAAACAAAACTACAAAGAAAACAAATATCAAGGCACTAACTATGGCTGGACAGTGCTGCCCTAGAGTGGAAGCTGCTAAGTCAGGAAGTAGAACTAACTGTAGCTGCTTTTGCTTTCCAAAGGTGATCAAGCAACGGCTGGTCTGCAAAGCATGGTGGAAAATAATTCTGTCACACTCAGAAAGGACTTTTTCATCACTCTTAACTTACACACGTTAGTGTTTAACACTTGCGTTTCCGCCTGTACCAGGAGGCGGGGCAGGGCTCTCACAGGGCTCCACAACCTTAGCGAGAGCAGCTGGCATTAGCCAGGTGGATAACGTGGGTGTGAAAAGTTGCCAACTACATACTCTGCAAGTTTTATAAATTAGCTCAATTTTAAAACTTACAACATACGCATTAAAACAACCTCCCTAGTTCCCGATACTCGAGGCAGGGAAAGGATATTGAAAAAAAAAAAAAACTAAAACAACATTCCCCCCACCCCCTCCCATAAAAGCAAAAGAGGAAAAACACAAACATTCAATTGGGGAATTAATTTCTTTTAAACAAGTATAATCTACACCTGATTACATGAGCTTAGTCTACTTACTCATAATCCGTATAATAGTATCCTTCCTACGTACCTATCTCCCTCCCTCCTTCCCAAACAACAATAGGTTCTCTCTCATATTTCTCAAATTCGCTTTGATCCTCACCTTGAGGTCCTTCTGCATCCATGTCCTCAGTGCTTAGGTAACAGGCACTGGCCACCATGTCTGACTTGTGCAGGGACAGTGACTTTGTGCACCTATGCAAATACTACACTGACTGAGCAGCTAGCTCTCTAACCTGCACTATTTTATTTTCAGAAAGTCTCTTTCTTTTATTAAGACTTTAATGTGAATGTGAACCATGGGGTACACGTGGGGTACAGGTGAGAATAACTTTCTAGTATGCTTTCTTGTTCCACCATGTGGTCTCAGGGGTTGAACTTGGGTCCTCAGGACTGATGGCAAAAGCTTTAACTCACTGAGTCTTCTTACTGCTCCTATACTATTTTAAAGTGCTGTCTTAAGTAAAGGAAATAATTTCGTTTTTGAAACAAGCCCAACTTCCTGGTTTGTACATAGCTTCAGTTTGGTTCTGAGTTTCAACATGTAGGATTATCTTCATAATTTCAGTTTCTTTCTCATTTGGAGAAGCTTCCTGTAACAGTCTTCTGAATTTACAAGCCACTTCAAAAGCAATGTTTCCTTACCACTTCTCCAATAGCATTTAAGTTAAAGAAGAAAGAGTAAGGAGGGGCAGCTCACCGGGACCACCCCTTTCCCGCCGGAAAGCAGGCTGGGCGCTGCACTTACCACCTTCTCCTTGGATCTCAGGACTCCCAGCTTCCCGAAGCGCACGTGAAAAGGTGAGCACTGGTAGGTGCCGTCCTGTTGTCGCACCACGACAACATCGATGCACCCAGACAACGTGGCTTGGTTAATGCCCTTGTAGAGTTCCTTTACAGTGACGAGCACCTGCCCAGCCAGCTGGCCCACATAATTCATGGTTTGAGACTGTAAGAAAATGAAGATGATGTCAGCACTGAGGTTGACAACTACTAACAATGACCAAAAAAAAAAAGTTTTAATTAAACACACACTTGTTTGCTATTCCGGGCCCATTCCTTTCCTGCTGCTGCTGCTGCTGCTGCTGTGGTCACACATCACTAGGACATCTGATTGGGAGCCTGCCTCTAGGTGGGGCCCGAGGCTGCGGAAGTTCCATTTCCTTTAACACTCCCAGGGTGGGGCCCACTGTCACCAGGGAGCCCACCTGTTCTATCTCCTTCCACCAACAGCTCAGGACCAGAAGAGAAGCAACTGAAGAGCAGTCACGGCTGCATTCTTGCCACGCACGGTGTTGGACCCTGCTGCATCCACTCTGACCACAGCAGCCAAGAAGAAAAGGCCCTGGTTATGCATACATCAAATACACAATTTTTAAATTTTTACTTTATCGAGACAGAGTCTCATTGTGTAGTCCTGGCTGACCCGAGACTAGAGAGATAGATTAGGTAGCTTTTGAGCTCACAGAGATCTGCCTTCCCCTGCCTCCTGAATGCTGGGATTAAAGGCTATGCCATCACGACTGGCCAATCTCTCTCCAGGGTCTCATTTTGTAGCCTAAACTGGCCTAGAACAAGGCCAAATAAAATCCTGTTTTAGCCTCTCAAATGCTGGGCTTACAGGTGTGTGCCACTGTATCTGACAGTAATTACTTCTTGAACAAAGAAAGAAAGAAAAAACTCAAATGAACTACCAATACATAAGCTAGACCAATCAATAAGCTAAAAGCATGCACTGTGTGTGGCAGAAACACTGCTCCATCAGAATACTCACAGATCATCTCTCTGTATCTCTTTCTTCTTCATCTTTTTGTTTATTTTCTTTGACATGGTTTCACTATGTAGCCCTGTGTGTCTGAAATTCACTCTGAGGACCCTACTGGTCTTGACTCAGAGATCCACTTGCCTCTGCCTCTTGATTTCCACCAGGCCCGACTGATTATACTTTTAAAAATTAGCCTTTCTCGATCAGAAGTTCAAGGACAGCCTGAACTATCTCCAAAACACCAAATAAACAAATGAATTAGCAAACTGTCTTCCTACTGTGAGACCAGTGTAGGTTGCAGAGTTTTAAGAAAGAACACAGCAAAACATCACAACCAGTGTCGTCTTCTCCCCAGTTCCTAGCAACCATTAATATGTTTTCTATTTCTGAAATGTCTGTCATTTTAGGAAGGAAGTCATATAAGTAGCATCATAAAATATGTAGTCTTTTAGGGCTGCCTTGTTTCCCTCATATTTTTTGAAGACTTATCCATATGGCCGTATCAATAACTCATTCAATTTTCCCGCTACATAGCATTTCATGGCATAAACTTATCATGAAAACAAAACACAACAAAACCAAACCAACCCCCTTTACTTGTTGAAGGACAGGTAGCTGTGCTTCTGGCTATTACAAAGAAGGCATACTTCTAAGTATCTGCTCACAGGTCTGTGTGAATATGCATTTTCATATTCTAGGGCAAATGCCTAGGACAACTGAGTGCCAACCAAGTGCAGGCTTAGCTGTTTGGATCTGTCCGACTACTACTTTCCAGGATTACACTGCCATTCACATTCCCACCAGCAGTGGGAGCTGGGAGGTGAAATTATCTGGCATCCTCACGATAGGTGGCATTACTGCTTACTCTAGCTTTAACCATATATAATGACTTGCATTTCTTTAATAGCTAATAATGCTGAACATTCTTTTCGTGTACTGCTCTGCCACTTGAGTGTCTGTCTACAGTTTGGAAGAGTCTTTGTCTCACTTAGAGGGAAATGAAATGCAGACCTTCGTTCCCACTTCTGTGGGCAAAGATTATCTCTAACCAGAACCGATGTGAAGTTCATTTGGAGGTCGTTCATCATATCACCTCTTTCCCAGGAAGTGCGTCTCTGCCACCTAGAATGCTCTGAGTTGCCCTGTTCTGTAAAGCACAAATGTTCAGGACATGCTCTTTTGCCTGTTGCAACATATTAGCTAGGTGGCACACAGAGTCAGTACTACATGACTGACCCAGGATGGCAATGCTAAAATGTTACAATTTGTAAAACAAACAATAAACCCTCACAGTATAGACCTTAAAAAAAGAAACTGAAAACAGCAAATTTTAAACATCAGCCATAAACCACCATGTTCTAAATGTAACAAGCTTACATCAACTAGCATACAATCCATAATTAAGTGCAACAACATCTATTCAGGACGATTTTAATTACTGTGGTTAAGAGCTGTGCTGTTATACATAAAGTAACTATTGTACAAAAGTTAGTTGCTAAATGTAGAAAAATACAGGCTGTCAAGAAACTCATTTTCTCTTGGACGACATGAAGCCATTGGGTTTATATTTTGTAGGCTGAGAAAACAAAAATATATGGAGGCCAGGGCCCTACCATGTACTACACCCCAGAAATGGCCAGGAGCAACCTGTCAGCTACACAATACATCTAATAACAGAACTTTCAGAGAGCTCTCTACACCCCAACGTAGACTATTTTGAGACAGGATTTCACTGTATGGTCTGGACTGTCCTGGAACTATGTAGACTAGGTTAGCCTCAAATTCACAGACCTGCCTCTGCTTTCAGAGTGCTAGGATCAGAGGTGTGCACCACCATGCCTGCAAATAAAATTTAAAAGATAAGGAAGCTCAAGGTCAGAGAAATAGGTGATGTTATAGGGTAGACACTTATGTGTGTCTCCTTCCCACCCCTACTCCATGTACTGAGGCCCTCACCTCTGAAGTGAAGGGATTTGGAGATGGGCCTTTGGCAGGTAACCAGGGTTAGGTGATCAGAAGTGTCTCACCCTCACTTGTGTCCTTATATACACAGAAAGACAGAGACAAGAGTCAGCATTCTCTTTTACCCTGCCACGTGAGGACAGAACAAGATATTGGCAAGTCTATAAAAAGGTGTCCCCCCCCAACACATACACTGAACCTCTCAGCAACTCAGCCTTGGACTTTAAGCCACACCAGATTTGTAATAAATGTCTATTGTGTAATCCACATTAGTTTAGGTCAGATGCTATCTATGACATTTTGTTCTAACCATCCTAAGTGTCTTCTTAAACAGCATATGTGGCAATCACTTCAGCTCCAAAATAGACAGTACCAGCTACAGAGACCACTTTCCCAAACAGCTCTACCTACTTACGATACACAAGAAGTCACACTAAACACTGCCACCCTCCAATGACACAACTGCATCTCTGATGGAGGAGGGTCATCTATTGGTTAAATAAAGAGACTGCCTTGGCCCTTTAATAGGACAGAAAATTAGGTAGGTGGAGAAGACAGAACAGAATGCTGGGAGGAAGAAGCTGAGTCAAACAGTCGCCATGATTCTCCCACTCGAGATAGACGCAGGTTAAGATCTTTCCTGGTAAGCCACACCTCGTGGTGCTACACAGATTATTAGAAATGGGTTAATCAAGATGTGAGAGTTAGCCAGTAAGAGGATAGAGCTAATGGGCCAAGCAGTGTTTAAAAGAATACAATTTGTGTGTTGTTATTTCGGGTGTAAAGCTGTCATGCGGGCGGCCGGGTGCCAGGAACGCAGCCCGCCGCTCCTTCTACACATGTCAGGGAGTTTTCTGAGCAGTCACAACTACATCTCACTCATCGTTCCGGCTGTGCACCCCTACTCTTTAAAGACTGACTCAGTCTGCTCTCACTTCTATGGCAACCTAGACACAAGGGTTCAGTAGCAACCTGAATCATAGATTAGTAGGACTGCCCAAGAGGACATATTGTTTGATGACTACTTAGTACTTTTTAAGATCAAACACACCTCATTCAATCTTTAAAAATAGGACATGGGTTTGCAAGGGCAGCATCATTCGTATTCTGTGAGCGAGACAGAGACAAGTTTGTGCCCTACTACTGTTCACTAAAACCAGTTCCACCTCAGCTCAGGGTCCCAAACTGTGTTCCTAAGGGCTGAGTTAACCTTGTAGGGCAAAAAGGGCCAGTCAAAGAAAACCCTGGCCCCAAGACCAGGGCCAAAGAACACACCTTGCCCCTAACCAATCAATCCCAGAGCACAAAAATCAACCGATTCCTGGGCATGAAATCCAACCAATCTCTGAACTTGTCTCAAGCTCAGGAATTAAAATCCTACTAATCCCCACCCTGAAAAAAGTTTCACCCCTAAGAAAACCTATATAAGCCCTGTACCGTTCAGTTTGGGGTTGCCCTTTTCCGCTCTGGCAGGGCAGCCAGCCTCCTGGAGCAGAGCGGAGTGGTGGGTGACACTTCCCCACAGCAGAGCAGTGCAGAACTGTGACGACCTCACGGGGGAAGCCTCCCCTGCTGGGGCAGAGTTGCTACCTGTGCATTAGGGAAACTGTCCCCACAGCAACAGTGCTGTTAGGATTCTGTTCCCTTCCAAGCTGGAGGTCATCCTTGGCTTCTGACTGCCAGGATCCCTTCCCTTCAGAGCTGTAACACATTAAATCCTGGCAGTTTTTCTCCAACCCAGGATAAATAAAGGTGAGAATAAGCTATGAATTTGATGATAACAGGGAGCAGTGGCAAGGGTGCCCAGAGCGTCATCTGCTGCAAGTTCCTCTCTGCCCTTTCCAGAACTGGCAGGGAAATCAAACCCCAGGGACTTGCCCACGTCTTGTAGGGACCTGACTTGAGTTTCATAAAATGTTTAGAGTATAAGCAGCTGGTACGGCAAGGACAGCAAAGGAGGAATGAGGTGACAAACTGAACAGAAAGGAGCGAGCACAGGCTGAGTCAACAGCAAGCAGCACCACAGGTAGCAGAGAGCTTGACAGAACATCTGGCCTCCTGAGAAGCTGCCTCCAAATAAGGGCCTCATTTTGCATTGCCATTTAGTCCCCACAATAAATGCTAGCTTATTTCTTCAATTTTCATTATTTTATAAAACAAGAAAAAGGAACAGCACAAGGATGATCCAAGTCTAGTTTACCACCACCCCACCCGACCACAAG